TACCAAGATATACACATGTGGCGTGGCTACGCCCATTTTCCAAAAATTTATGTTCTTATTTTTCGTCTAAAACTTATTGTAAATATCAATTTTGAGTGAATAATCTCCAGTAGTTACTAAAATATCGCAGTTTTCGTATTTCTGAAAATTACCGCTATATGGGAAGTGGGCGTGGTTACAGTCCGATTTCGCCCATTTTCAAATACCAACCTACCTTGGATAAATGGAAACCTACATACCAAATTTCGTTGAGATATCTCAATTTTTGCTCGAGTTATCGTGTACACGGACGGACGGACAGACAGACATGGCTTAATCGACTTCTCTATTCATTCTGAGCATTTATGTATACATTTGTCTATATCTATCTCGATTCGTTTTGGCTGTTACAAACAACCGTTATGTGAACAAATTAATATACCCTTGTGCACAAGTGCGCTCGGGTATAAAAATAAAAATAAATAAAAAGTACGTTGAAAACATATTGAGAACCATTTTGCCTCTGCTTGAAAGGGTTAAAAAGCGTTTCATATATGACAGCCTGCATTAAAGGGTTAAATGCTGCACTTTCGTAAAGATATCGACCAGTATAACCATTTTTGTTATATAAATTTTTTTGTGAAAGCTGATAGTTTACGAGTTATTAGAGTTTAAAGGTAGCTTTTCTTTTTCCAATCTGGCCACTCGGGTACAGCATCCAATGTCCCAAGCATCGAGTCTTAAGATAAAATAAAGAGAAATCTTTCAGAAACAGTGCTAATGGTGTATTAAATATAGTGTTTTCTAGTGGAATGGGAGCCAAAATCCAAAATTAAAAAAAGTGACATTTTGATCGGTGAAGGTTAAGTTATTGTTGTTGTAACTTCTCTATAGTTTTCCTATATTATATGATCATTTATCTTCACGATAAAAAAATTTCATTCCATTGTCTCTTTTCTAAGCGAAGATCTACGATTTTGAAAAAAACTCGTGTTTTGCCTATAGTGCGACGCCTCTAGCCATTGTGTATCACAACTTTAAGTTATCGATGCAAATTTTTTTTTAATCGCCCCTGCCCCCCTTCGCCAAATCCTGGCGACGCCACTGATTCACACTATAACGTCGCTGGAGTAATGAAGTAGTTGAACATGGAACGTATAAATAGTTTTGAGAAAAACGAATTACAAGTTTTTATAATCCAGTCGACCAAATCTAAACTTTAATTGTGCTCTTCTTATTCAAAATATTCATATTTTAAATACACCACACTTTTTACTGATTCCTTAGCTGTTAATTCACAAAAAAAATCCGGTCCAATTTTAATTACAAATACCATTTGAGCCCATTTTTATGAAAGCATCTGCTTATACACTATTTTATCTTTGAACATTTTTATATGAAATCATTGTACACTATTTTATACACGGTCAAAAATTTGGGGTTTATTTTTAAACCGCGCTGAGACTACTGCCTTTTTTAATCTTTTATAGTCTACTTTTTAAACCAGTCAATAATTTTAAGCAATTTTAAATATATTCTGGTTTAAAGTTTAGTCCAAAAAGTTCGTGGATTAAAAATCAAATCAAAATGTTTTAATTCTAGTTTCTAGGTTTCGTAATATAGAAAATTTGGTTTAAAATCTAAACCGAAATAGAAAATGTTTGCACAAAGCGAAATGTGGTGTTGATTCAAACTCAACATATGAAAGCACATGTACATGCGTGGCTGTAGCTGATTGTGCAAAGATGCATTGATACAATTGGTTGCTACCAAGGCTGTCCGGGTTCAATCCCCATCAGACGGAGCGTGAAATTAAAGATTTTTTATTTTTTATTCTTAATTATGAAAATGTTTGGGTTGTAAATTTTAAACCGAACTGTTTAAATTCTAAACTCAAAATATGTGCTCTCTTTTTTTTTTAAACTTGGAAGGTTTGTATTTGAAACTGAATTTAGTTTGGTCATATATGTAGTCCAAAAAGTTTAAAATTAAAACCGAAATTTTTAACCATGTATTGGTCGCAAACTCAGAAAAATTATTGATTATTACAACATTCTATTGTTCACATTTTGAAGCTGCCTGTGAAAGTTAGCAGCAATATAATGAAGTAAAATACTCTAACGTCATTTTAATATTACAAGAATTTCTTTGAGATTTTCTTAATAATAGTGCAAGTGCACCATACACTCTTTGTAAACAATTATAGTACCTACACTGTATAAAATTTCGTTTTTCGCGAATAAGTTCGTGATTCAAAAAGATATTTAAGAAAACTAAAGATTTTTTAATAGATTAAAGGATTGTCTATCCATTGGCACGCTTATCGAATAATAGTGTATGTGAAATTTACACTGTTTCTTTATTCCAGCGACGATATGTACGGTGACAATTCGCACCGATTTTGCCGGGACAGCACCGAATTTGAGAAAATTGTCCCATTAAAAATTTTTTAAAAGTCATGACGTATCCCGATTTTTTATATCTGTTTTGATTAGGTCCCGATTTTCAGTGTTTTCTTTATTAATTTAAAAAGAGTCTCCCTGTACTGTGACCCAAAAACAATTTTTCTTACAAACAAAAAGGCAGCGATAAACGTACATCATCTTTGGTTATGTTTTATTCTACTTTTGTTAAATTTCCTTTTTTTTTTCATGAAACGATTCTAACTTGAGTTTAGTCAAATACTTATTCCCTCAAAAATGCATAAATATGCAAAATATAACCTGTAGATACGGTGGCAACGATATAAACAGGGAGGAGAAATTTTAACATTCTTTGGCTATTACCCTTTCGATTATTTAATGTTTGTTATTTTTTATGAAATTGTAGGCCGTTATTTAACAAAGACCATGTAGTCAAAATTTCAAACGTCGTACAAAAATTGTCTAAGTTCGACAAAGATTCATTAAAACTTTGAGCTTTTTAGTTTCGCTTTCTTAGACACATTCCGGGTATGCAATTTTGTAGCCCATTCAATACAAACTGCAAACTTTAAGTAGCTTGGACTTTTTTTTGTGGAAGGTATTGCTCATCTCTCCATACAAAAAAATTGGCGAACATCCTTTGTATGGAAGAATACGCGCGAAAAAAAAAGTTGCCAAAAATCAACGGTAAGTCCAAGCTACTTCAAACTTGCACTTTGAATTGAATGGGCATACTCCAAACAATTCAAAAAAAATCTGTTTAAGATTTTTATCAGCATTTGTTAAAATTCAAAGTTTTTAAATTTTGATTTACATGGTTTAGTTAGATAGTAAGCTATATTTTTATAAAAAATAAGAAAATTTTTTTAAATAAAGAAAAGACGCCAAAACTTGATAAATGTCTATTGACATTCTCACCACCATATATATTTTTTTTGTGTATACATTTTTACGATAATTTTTCCAGATCTTTTACTCTTTGTTTTGTTTTAAATAAAACTGTATTAAAAGATGTTATGTCTCTTTATTCTAAAAACAAAATTTTACGGGCAGATTCAATGCATTACTAATGTCCCGATTTTCCTGATGTCCACAGAAATCTGGTCACCGTAACTATAGGCCACTCATCATGCCCGTGCTGGTATACATATGCCGCAGAAGCATGAACAATGACAACATCAGATGAGCCGACCCTGGAGTATTCGAGAGAAAGATTTTGCGGAAGATTTTCAGAACTTCCTCGTTGACGAAAACAGCTTCTCATAAAAAAAACAATAGCCGTCCAAAGTCGGCGTAAAAGTGTATGGATCTCCTTTGTGGTACAACATTAAGGCGCACGCGACAAATCGGAGGATAAGCTCCGCCAAACACTAACAAATTGTGTAAACGCCAATCTATTATGATTTTTACACGTAGAGATTGTGGTGTTGTCGTAAAGCAGCGAGACCACTGGTTCAAATCCCGCCTTATGCAATTCTAACACTAACTAAAGTCAACGCCCAATTTATATCGGAAGGAATTCTGAATCACATTGGGCTGTATGCATGAAAACTAAAATACCTTTCACTTAATTTTATTTGAACAAATTGAGTAAAAGGTCTGAAATTTGAATTAAAAGCATTTGGTTAAGTTTTATGCATACGGCCCATTATCTTTGTAATTTGAGTTTAAGATATTCGATTCTAAAAAATATAGTTTTAAAACTATCGAGTAAAAAATTTCGGTATCGTATGCTCAAAGTATCGACATGGTATCGTATCGTATCGAAGTTCGTGTCCCTAATGATTTGTATTTTTTGCTATCTACACGTGTGGGATCACGCATGCATCGCAACGCGATAAGTAAGTTTTTATGATTTTTTCCAAAATTAATAAAAAAAACTACCTTCAGAAATTAGCTTGACATAGATACTTGGAGACAATTTTAGTTACAAAACAACTATTAAAAAAAATAGTAATAATTACAAAAACTTCATCAAGTATTACATGATTCAAAGGAAAAGCCCATCTATGCCCGATATACATATATGATAGATATGCTTGACTAAATATAGTCAGAAGTATTAGTTTTATATATTATTAAAAAATACTGTCCTTGTTTTCTCATAATAATTAATGATATTTATTTTTTATTAAAAATAGGAATGAAGTGCCTTAAATAGTAAAAGTTATTTTGGGGGAATACCATGGAAGATAGGGGAATTTTTTAAGGAATTTTAGAGGATTAGACTTATTAGAGTTGGTATCCCTGGCACGAACTTATACTTTCTTACTTGTTATTTGTTACGGGATTGGCGATGTTTCCGCTCTCCTCGACCAGATTCCACAACATCTTAGTCATAGATTGACTAATAATGTTATTCGATGCCATTAAAATATTGAATTCAGATTCTGCCAAGTTGGGAGCTTTATGGAACCTTGGAATTGAAAAATTCAAACGAGTCTTTTCAAAAATTGGGTATTGTGACAATATTTTTTTCCTCCTTTAAATAAGCAGTAGAAAATGTACATTCTTGTTCATATTCAATATTTATTTATTGGATTCTTTTATATTTCTAATTAAACATATTTAAATTAATTGAAATATATACTATGTATTTTTTATTAAATTGTTGTAAATTAAGTTGTACTAATATTTATGAATAAACACTTACATATATGTATGTATGGAGATATATACGTTTTTAACCTAAATAACAGAATTATTGAAAATTTGTATTGTAAATATTTCGGTAAGTACTTGTTTAAGTACTTACTCATAATTGTACATTAACTCTTTTTTTATGGACGATTGAATTACCATTAAAAAATTAGTTAATATGTATTTATTGATGTATGTACACTTTTTACGAGTCAATGGTAAGAGTATTATATTTAATATTTTTTTTTAGTGTAAAGACAGACGTTTAATTGAAGTCCACAAAAGTTTTGATCGGTAACCGTGGCTGTTTGAACTTTTGTTTATAGATTATGGAGCGATAAGCAACTCAATCTCTTAATTTATAGCTTTTATATTTGATCATATAAATCCAGCTTATTTAAAGCATACAAATTTGAACACCAACCAAAAGGAAGCAGTTTTTAAAATACATTAATTTATGTATAATAAGGGCGTGTTTTATGTATTAAAAGAAACATTTTCAAAGAACGTATTTTGAAATAAAGGACAAAACATATATTTCGAAAAACAAGTAAATGAACCTTAAAAAAAGTACTGTCCTTCTAAAAAACGAATGCTCTCCATAACTATGGCAAATGGAAAATCGTTTCAGAACAGCATAGAAAGTAACCTTAGACACGCCACTTAAGCACTACTTTAAACCGGTTGAAATCTGATTCGTAGAGACTTGTGCGATTAAACTAGGTATATCCGAATTATTTATTTACTTATTTCTACTATGCAAACTAAAAATTTCGAACCAGTTGTTTCTAGCAGGGAGATTACAAACTAACTAAATATTCATAAACAATTTATTTTAATTCTATTATACATTTTTATAATCATACACATAAAATGTTTATGTAAAATTTATGTATGTAATAAATTTTCACCTCCTCCGGGTTTCAGTTCCCAGCTCAGTTCAATGTGCTAATAAATATTCCCTTACGGTTGCACAACCGCCACTTGCCTGTATATCTTTGCCAAATTCGTCTGCGCCCGGTCAATATGGACGCCATACATTACCCATGTCTCCCACATCTTCTGCGCGCGCTCCACTGTGTTGTTCACCAGTCACATTCGCGTCTCCTTGTGCCACCTCCAAATGTCCCTGTTGTGTTTGCTGTTGTACTTGCGACTGCTGCTGTTGTTGCGGGTGCTGGTGCTGCAGTGAATGTTCGCCAGGTGTGGCCGTAGCGGCAGCACTGTTAACGCCAGCTGCTGTGGCACTACCTCCACCTCCACCACTATTATTCGCATTTCCCATTTGACCATCGTGCAATGCCTGTGAGGATCCTTGCGCTCCCATCGTTTCGTGATCTGAGGTGCCGATCCCTATCTCAATGCTCGGCCGACAGCCAGCCAGCGAGCTGATAGTTAGCGAATTTTCATGGACATGCACGTGAATTTGGTTTTGGTTAACTGTGGAATAGAGTTGTGGATAAAGTACCATTGTGTGAGGCGTCTGCCCCGGGTACGCGGCTCCTTGGGCTGCGCAACTACTATAGTTGTAGTTGCTGTAGCCGTTGGCGAAACTATTGTACGATGAGTAGGTGGGATTGAGTGACTCCATTTCCGATTTGCAGCCACCGTAATGCGTGGGGCTACAAATGGGCGCTTGAGCATGGGGTACAAAAGAGCCGGCGGACGCTGTCATGCCGCTGTGCGAATAATCGCTTGTAGGGCATAGCGCTGACATGTCGGTGAGCATGCTGGGTACATGTAGGTTGGGATGTTCCACAGCCAGTGGAGGAGGCACACTAGTGTCATAGCCATAGTGGGATAGATTCGTGGTGGCGGCAGCGGGCTGTGTTGGATGTGGGTACTGGTATGAATTGGGATGCGTACGATAGCCGCTGTAGGCGCCTGGGCTGGTCGATGCATAGCCAGTGGTCCAGTCTGTGGCTCCCATCAGTTGATTAGATTCTGCAAGAGAAAACAAATTACAAGTATTATTGAGGTTTTGAATTAAAATGCGCTTTTTAGAATACATTAATTTATATTATATTAAGTAGCTGAAACTCTTCAGTATGAAGTGAATTTGCACGAATGAATTTTGTAAACGACTTTTATTGTGACCGTGATATTTGAATTACATATGTTGTTTTGGGTTATTCAGGAAAAAAAGTTATATACATACATACATATGTACGAAAAAAGTTTTAAACGCCCTCACAAAAACAGCGAATGCTTAAAAACAATATACAATTATTTACCGCCGTTTAAATAAACATCTTGTAAAAATATACATATGTATGTATATCATATGCCTTATTTTCTCCATACATTTTGCTAAGGTATTTCAGATCTTCCCTCCGGCCGCAGAATATGAAAATAGGATGCTAAGAACCTAAGAAAATGAAAAAAATATTAATTATTGCAAAAACTGGATGGGCTACTCCGAAATCCGTGATTTATAAGACTGTTTTGCTGTAGGTTTAGGTTCTTATATGAAAAAACATTCATCTCTCCCATGAAAGCAAAAAAGGATACCCAACCTCATGAAGTAACAGTCGCTAAAGCGAATGGTGTAACATGGCTTTAGTTAAACCTAATTTACAAGTCAAATATAAATCAATTCAAGATCCGTTAGCTGTTTTAAAAAACTACATTAAATTAGCTACATGCTTAAGTATTTTATTTTTAGAAAAATTAATACTATCTGGAAAATCCTAACAAATAAATTTTAAAATTCGTGAAATATAATACCATATAGTCACTTTAGGCAGTGTGGGTAACTTTCTGGTTGGTTGTGTTAAAAAACTAAGTACGCCATTCGCTTTAGCGGCTTATTCTTCATGAGGTTGGATATCTCTTTTTTTTGTGCAAGATGAATTTTTTTTTTTTAAATAAGCACCTAAACCTACAGCAAAACAGTCTAATAAATCACGGATTTCGGTGTAGCTCATCCAGTTTTTGCAATAGTGAATATTTTTTTTTTCATTTTGTTAAGTTCTTAGCGTCCTATTTTCATATTCTGCTGCCGAAGGGAGGATCTGAAATTCTTTAGCAAAATGTATGGAGAAATATAGGCATCTGATATACATAAGTATGTATATTTTTATAAGATGTTTATTTAAACGGCGGTAAATAATTGTATATTGGTTTTAAGAATTCGCTGTTTTTGTGAGGGCGTTTAAAATTTTTGACGTTGAATACGTCTTACGTTTCGATATGGAGGCTATGCTCAAATATTGTACATAGTTGTAATTATTAGAGCTTCACGAAAACGCTTATTGCACGAAAACTAATGAAGCGATTTCAAAGAAAAGTATGACATTTCAAAGACAAAATTTCAAACCTAGCGACAAGTTCATCTTTGTAACTAATCAATTCGGTTTCTGTCGTATAAACAACGCTAAATATTGGCTTATTTTGGGGTCAATTTTGAGCCTTTAAAGTGCTCTAGCAACTTATGATTTGCAGATATAACATTTATTTTCGGGATATAGGTTCTTTGGAGCAATGGAAATATCATGCACAAATTTTTTATAAATTTAAAAAAATATTGGGCATTTTCGGGCAACAAATTTTTGAAAAAATTATCAAACTTTTTTTATTACCAAAATGCTCGAAAACCGCTTGAATGATTTTGTTTTTGTTTTCTTTAGTCAAAAATTCAAGTCTTTTCCTTTCGTTTGGTATATGGGAAGTATTGGTTGATATCTTCTCAGTATGTTTATTTTATTCAAATATATGGGCATAAATGATTTTCCATACAAAATAACTTCGTCATCATTTTGCAAACAATTGCATGCGCTGGAAGTGAGAGAAGGAGACAAAAAGTATGTGTATGTGGGTACATATTTCGACTTTTGAGAGACAGATGGCGCAATATTTATAACCTAATCGCAGCGTATGTATGCAAATACATACCCACGTACATATGTATGTATGTTGATTGCAGTTAATATGGATTTTTTTTCTTTTAGTAATCTACGTATGTATGTACATAAATATGAATACATATCTGTACCGTTCGTTCGATTTTACAAAATGAGGTATCAAATTAAAGGGCTTGGCCTGTGGATGTGCAATAACTTCATATTTTTTCAAAAAGAGTGGGCACCTGATAAACGAATTTAATTCAAATTATTTTTAAGTGAAATCAATTATTACACTATGAGTATCGTTCGAAATGGGTTTGAAAGGGCTTTATTTCTTATTGATATGTAGGAGAAAAA